CCCCTCCCTCCCTTTTTCCCTCCCTTCCTCCAGCCGGGCTCTCCCTTCTTTCCTCCCTCCCCTCTTCCCAGTCCGGGCTCCTCTCCCTCGCCCACACTTTCTTTCTCACACACGCACGCAGACACATCCTCCCTCTCTGCACTCTCTCCCTCTGTCTCCCTCGCTCCCTCTTTCTCTTTCACTTTTGCATGCCCTGCAACCTTTTAAAATGTGGCCCCTTCCCTGTGATTCGCCAGACGCTGCGCCGCTGCCCCCCGCGCGCTCGCCCGCTCCCTCTTTCGCCCGCTTTTTGTCTCTCGCGCTCCCGCTCCCCGCCTCCGATTTGCTACACTGAGGCTCCCGTCAATGGACTGCATTGAGAGCCGGCTCCAGCGCGAGTTGCCTCTCCGCTTCACGCTCGATTTCCAGGCATTCTTCCCTTATTAAGTATTCGTGTAACATTAATAGTCATGAATATCTGCTATTAGGAGGCTCCAGGAACGCTGCCCAGCGCGGTTATTAGAAGCTCAAGCGGAGCCGCCACTAAGAAAAGAGGGGAGACACGGATTAAGGAACACGCGCGCACGCATACACACACAGACACACACTTTCTTTTGGGGGGGCTTTTCGTTTTCTAAGGAACTTTGAATCACAATCGATCACGGCAAGATAGAGACCGAGGGGTTCGACCTGCCGAAGGCGCCGCTCGAATCGGTGGTTCAAGTTCGGATGGACCAGAGCGGGGCTCCGGCGCTAGCGGGAGCGGCGGCGCGGTGACCGGAGTCGAGGACTCCCGGCGCCTTTTGTGTGGGGCGTCCGCGGGCTGCGGGGCAGCCGGGCTCTCCGGGCTTGCTTGTTTTTTTCCACCCTGACTCGGTACCCCAGACTCTTCGCAGATGTTAGTTCACAGTTTTTCAGCTATGGTGAGTCCCACCCCCACCCCCACCCCCGTTTCATTCGGAATTCTAGGCTGGAAACCTGGTGCGGCGGAGCTGCGCGAGACCTCGGGTTTCGCCACCAGGTTTCCAGCGGGGCGCCCCTTCCATCTGCATTTCCCTCTTTGCTCTTTTCCATCCTCAACTCCCCCGTCCCTGCTCCACATCCCCCGGCGCGCAGACCTACCTCGCCGCTACTCCCCGAGGCGTGTTTCTTGCCATGTTCATCTTTATTTCCTTGCGTCTTCACTTGTTCCTGAGATGTGCTCAACGTTTGATGCTAAATCCGTCTGCACCCCAAAAAAACAAAAACGTAGCCCCATGTGCCCCTTACCCTAGGGGCCGGGGCTGCACCTCCGAGGGTTCGCATTCCCCGGAATCAACTCTGTTCACTTGTTTTGCAAGCGAATTTCAATAGAGGAACAGAAAGTCAGGCGTTTCTTCTGCCTTTTGCGGCTGGAGTGGGGGCCCCCGCCCCGGGGTGCACCTCTCTCATTAAACCCCAGAGGGCTGCGTCTATTTTAAACCTGGACTAGACGTCCCCATCGAACGCCCGGGAGAAGGGGGCTTTTAACTGAGGGAACGGAAAAGGCAGAGTCTCCCCCCCCACTCCAACCTGCAGTTAAAACCTTCTTTAAGCTGGTCATTTAAACGTGCTTGCTTCGTTATAGCCCCACTACGAATGTTTCTATTTAAATAGTCATGAAATGCTAATAGTTTTTGAACGGGTATGCTTTTTCCCTCCAAATAAATGGAACGAGGTAAACAACGCAGTTCAAATGGTGTGTGTGTGTGTGTGTGTGTGTGTGTGTGTGTGTGGTGCTTCTGCTGTTTAATATTTAGTAGGAATTTTAATTTTGCTGAAGGGAGGTTTCTTGCCGCAGCTTATCGTGGCTCCATTCTGGGAGGCCCTTTTCTATCCGGCCCGACCGTGGAAATAAATAGCTAAGGAGAGTCTCTTACGCCCCACACTTGCCCAGCCTTATTCCCCGCGTTTTTGGAAGGGCCCGTTTCACTTCTGGGGTATTTTCCAAAAGGAGCACCTGGGAGCGCGTTTCTGCGGCCTGCCGCCGGGCAGGGGCGCTTTCCCACGCGGCCCTGCGGAGTGGGTTCAGCCTGGACAGCCGGAGCCCGACGCCTGACCGCTTGTTCTTCGCTTTCCTCTCGTCGCAAGATCCTTACTCCCACGTCAACGACCCCTACAGCCTGAACCCCCTGCACGCCCAGCCGCAGCCGCAGCACCCGGGCTGGCCCGGCCAGAGGCAGAGCCAGGAGGCCGGGCTCCTGCACACGCACCGGGGGCTGCCGCACCAGCTGTCTGGCCTGGATCCTCGCAGGGACTACCGACGGCACGAGGACCTCCTGCACGGCCCGCACGGGCTGGGCTCCGGACTCGGAGACCTCCCGATCCACTCCTTACCTCACGCCATCGAGGACGTCCCGGTAAGAGGCCGCGCGGACGGCGCGAGAGGGAGTGCAGCCCGTCCCCCCTCCCAGAGAAGATGCCGGGGATGCACAGCCGGTGGGCCCGGGTTTTCTTCAGTGTGTTCACTTTTTCAAAATCTCATTTTATTTTTGGGGCGAGCGCTTTCAGGACCCACATAGACAACCGAATTTAAAAAATTAAAAGTAAGTTGAGTTCTGCCCCTAGAACAATGGTTCCTGGAAATCCTCCAGAACAATGCCAGCATTACCATTTCCACCGACGCAAATAAATCAGATGAATGTCACAATATCTCCCCCTCGCCAAGACAGTAAACTGTTTCGATTGGGAGAGGATCTAATTCCACCTCTGAGTCTGGCGCTGGGATTTCCCCCTGTCCTGAAAAAGATGTTAAATTCAACCGAAAGAGCTCATGAAATGCTCTGGCAACTCAAAAGAAAGTGTAAAAGACATACTGAAAAATTAATTTTACCGGATTTCACAAGCATTAGTGATATCTGAAAGTTGTGTGTATCCCCTACCCTGATTACGGAAGAGTTAAGTAGCAGATCTGAGCAGGGGGACATTAAAATGCAGCCTCTTCTCTTCCTAGGGGTGCTAAGTGCTGACCTCATAAATCATTAGCTGGGCTCCAAACGCCTATCAGAACCTGCTACACCCCATATTAAATTAAATGTTCTGAAACTATTGAGCAACATTACTTGTTTTAATTCAGTTATCAATAAATGTAGTTTAAAATGATCTCTTAATAAGCATGATATTAGCACATTTACTCTTTACGATGTAAACCAGCTATTGATAATTTGAAAATACTTTCTAAAATTAAATTTAAACCAGCATCTCTGCTTCAATTCTACATATTTATGGTTTCCTCACAACCTTCCTGAAATGGAATTAGAACAAGCCAATAATTTTATTAAAGCTGTAAAGGCTCTATTAATGCTGCTTTTCTTTGGAGAGGAAATGTATCTGGATGTGATTTTTGCTGAAATGCTATTTCAAATTACTGCATCAAATATTGCAGCAATATGTCCGTTGACAGTTTAATGATTACTGCATTAGATTGCAAAGAAAATGGTCAGATGAACTTACCTGCTTGAATGGTGAATTTAAAACTGTAAGTTACATAGGAAAATAGAAAATTTATTACATCTCTCATTTAGCTCAGTTAATCACTGAAATTTGTTGGTTATGTTTAGCAGCCTTGCATGGAAAGCAGAAAAGTAGGAACTTGATCCCATGTGGGGTTTAGTAAGCATTGTGTGTGTGTGTGTGTGTGTGTATGTGTACGTGTGTTCGAACATGTATTTAGAGGCTGATACTAAACTGCAGTTCTTGGGAAGGAAAATGAGAGGAGCAATAGTTGAGAAAAGCGCAATTAAAAAACAAGTCTGGAAGTTGTGATCATTTTACTTCTTCCCAAAGATTCTCTGAATCCTTTTCCTAGTGTGATCTTTGGAAATATTTGAATTGCAAAATAACGTTGCAAGCTTTTGAGACGACTGTGGATTAGAATGCTCTACTTTGCAAAAATTCGAAAGTGGTTGGTGTGAATTCTTAACACCTGTATAGTCCCTCTTTGTGGTGAAATTGGTCAGTAGGAGAAATTAACCTAAAGATCAAATGAAAACAAGGAAACCCAGTTGCTGCTCTCCCCCTCCCTTCCCCACCTTTTAAGAAAAAAATTCTTTCAAAGGAATTTGGGTCAGGAAAAGGGTTGTTTTCAATTTTCCCATTGCTGCAACGGTTAACCTTTAATAAGAATGACTGCTAAATATTTAAGAAAATCAAATCGATGGTGAAAATTATTTAATCATTAATATCTCAGTGGGGTTTTAAACTTAACAGTCTTCCCTGTATGGACAAGGTCTAGAAATAACACAAATAAAAGTATTATGCCACACTACATTTACTTTATGAGTTTAGGGTGCATGCATAAAGGGATCATATTTCCCCATATAGTTAAAACACAAGAACTGCAGCAGTACTCATTTCTGAACATTTCTCAATTTAATTATACTTAAATCCAGAAGCACTTTAGGCAAGTTACAAATGAGAGCATTGAGTATAATAAAACCTGTAATAAAGCAACTTAGTACCATCCACCCGGAATCATTGCGATCAGGCACAATTAACAGGAGCATAAATCCAAGACAGAATGGAAAATGTTTGAATCAGTATTATTGTTGGACAAAGACTAGAGAAGGAAGGAATAGTTTTTTAAATGGTAATGCCTGTGTTTGGTAGCGATTGCGAAATCGTCTATCTCAGCAGCCCTGGTGCTAATTTGTAAACACAGCCAGACATTATATTGCCTGTCAGTTTCTGCATTAGAAAACATGATTTCATTTTACTTTCTAATCACGTTTCGACTCTGGCACACACATATACCCATCCATCCGCAAAAAAAGGAAACCCCACCCCAACAAATCTGCTGTTGGACAACAGAAACAACCTCAAACGTTTTTGTGTTTGTTTTTAAAAATCATTTATATTCCTCTCTGATATCCAATTTAGGCAGTAGTCCTTTTTTTCAAAAAGATCACACAAATGATTATTTTCCCATAAGTGAAGGTGTGTGTCTGCATTTGCTGTTTATCACACTACCTAAAGCGTTTCCAGCACACCCCCGTCCTGCCTGCCTGTCATTTCTATTGTGTTTCCCTGGCTTTTGCTGCTGAGCCCTTGAATCACTGAAAGTCCGAAGCCACCGAGGCGCCAAAGTAATGCTAGGTGCATTTTAAAAGGTTGAGCTGATTGTGGAAAAGATTAGGTGCTCCAGAACTCGATTTTAATTTCCAAAGAAAGTTTTATTCCCAACCCCCACTTCTTTCAAACTCAAATGATTTGCTGGAGGAGGAGAAATTGGCCGTGGGTGTGCAGTGAAACCTCTTGAGTTGCAAAGCCCCAGATTCCAATAAGCCAAGATGAGATGTTTATATATAAATGTCACTATAAGGGGGGAATTTTGATTCTACACCTTCCCCTCCCCCCAGCTTGCACGGAATATTCATTTCCTTTTGTTTTGATTATACACTTACATCCATGTGTATCCTTTTGTTGCAGCATGTAGAAGACCCGGGTATTAACATCCCAGATCAAACTGTAATTAAGAAAGGTAAGCCATTTCCTTTTGCATTCCAAGCATGTCCTTACAGGCATAGTGCTATTTAAAAGAACTTGCAGAGCTGTATTTATTTTTTTTCAAATACGATTTTCCTAAAGGCTCAGAATTAGCAAACAGGCATAGAACAGCAATGCTTGAATGATCGGCTTTCAGTAGGTTAGCAATGGCAACAGGCTAGCTTTGTTCTGATTCATGATTTGATTATTTAATTTAGTTTAATGATATCTGGACAAACACATAAAATGTGTAATAGTTTAACCGATTTGGAAGTGGCATTTCAATTTTGAAACGTTTTAATAGTTTGTGTGAGTGGCAAGGAGTGTTAAGAAGTGATATGATAAAACAGTGCAAATAATTTACTATTGATATAAGGGCAGATGATAAAGAGACATAGCATTCCTTAGCAGAGTGAAAAAAAACAAAAACAACCTTTCATGATTTTCCACTTAATTTCTCATTAGCTCTTTAAGGGTTTTTAAACTTTGTGAATTAGGTTAACAAAAATTTGGCTTTGGTTAAAATTAGCATCTTGAAGATGTCAGGATTGTTAGCATAATTGTTCATAGCAAAAGTTGTTTTAAGTGCCCAGTGATTTGGATGGATCTGTAATTTCTATTGTATTTAGTGAGTAGAAATAAAGTTTACTGGATTAAATGCTATTCACAGCAGCTTTGTTGTTGTTGTTGTTGTTATGGTGGCAATGTTACATTTCAGGATTCTAGGCACCACCAGAGGACGATGCTATATAAAACTGTTCTCATTTCATTTCTAACCCCAATCAGTTTGTTAGCGAGTTTAGAGTTTCATTTTTGCATCTGTGAAGTCTTTGTCACATCAAATTAGATGTGCAAGGGATAAATCTTAAGAGATGCTCTTTCCAAGTCGACATGATAATTGGCTCTTTTATTAGTAATCTCTCAAGAGTTCGTTTAACTCCTATTGTCTCTATTAGCCTCCCCAGAGCTATTAATGTCACAAGTGATCTATCCAAAACTAGAGCCCCCCCCCCCCCACTTTCCCATACATCTAGAATATCCCATTAAAGAGGGAGGAGTAAGGCAATGAGAATGTTTACACATTATTATATATGTCTCCATGTGGGATTTTAAAAATACAAACGCATACGGTACTTAAATGGTTATGAATGCATCTGAATCATATTGGTGTCGAGAAATGTAACGTTAGTACACTTTCTGCTGGTCTTGAAATTTTTTTCTAACTATGATGGGTCCGACAATGAAGAGCTAATTAATTTAGCTAGTGAGGTATCCTCCCTGCAGAGGACCATTAACTATTTGCTCAACCAAAGTATTCCGTGGTGGGCCTGTGTAGCCTTCCTTCTAGTACAAAACCGGGCTTGGGATGGCTCTTCAAAACTCGAGTCGTTCTCAAAACTAAAGATAGGAAAGGGCCTATTTCTCCAAAGGATGGGGCACGTGTTGTGTGTGTCAACAGACCACTTCCCAGCTTGGTGCTGCCTTAAAACTGAAAATGCTCATTTACAGGCTGATTTGCCATCTAAACGCTGGGCTGATTTTAATGACAGGTTTATGAAGTCATTTCCCCCCAACACTCAACCCCTCATTCCACCAAACTCCAAAGGACGCGTAATTGGCTTGCTCTTGGTTTGCAAACGTCATCCCCGCCCCTGCACCCCAAGCCCGCTCTGGAGCACCTGGTGTAGGGCCCCCCGTCCTCGGACGCTGGCGCTCAGAGGCTCACAGTGGCACCACCAGCCCCAGACAGCACCCTGACTAACAGGACAGGGTCTGGGCAGAAGCAAAGGCCTGGCCGGTGGGCTGAGGGGGCACCTCCAGGCCGGGGGGGAGGCGCGCCGAGAAGTCTTGATCCCAGGACAGAGGAGGGCAGGAGGTGGGAGCCATGCAGTTTTCAGGGCTGGAAGAAAAGGGGGGCTGCCGCGCAAGCCGGGGCGCCTGCCCTAGCCGGGAGGAGAGGCGTGCCTGGCAGCTCTTGGGCGGGATCCTCGGCTCCCACACACGGCCTCCGGTCTGTCTCCGCAGGCCCCGTGTCCCTGTCCAAGTCCAACAGCAACGCCGTCTCCGCCATACCCATTAACAAGGACAACCTCTTCGGTGGCGTCGTGAACCCCAACGAAGTCTTCTGTTCAGTTCCGGGTCGCCTCTCGCTCCTCAGCTCCACCTCGAAGTACAAGGTCACGGTGGCGGAAGTACAGCGGCGCCTCTCACCGCCCGAGTGTCTCAACGCTTCGCTGCTGGGCGGAGTGCTGCGGAGGTGAGGCCTGCGGCCCGACCTC